ACTTGTAGCTTTCTGCATATATGTAACAGTCAGAAAGAAGATTAAGAAGCGGCAAGGGATGTCAGCTTCTCCTGGTATGGTTGACATGCCCACCCATCACCTGGTCTCGTACCATGAGCTTGTTCGAGCAACTGATAATTTTAATGAGAGCAACCTGCTAGGGTCTGGAAGTTTTGGAAATGTTTTCAAGGGCCAGCTAAGCAATGGTTTAATTGTTGCAATCAAAGTTCTAGACATGCAGCTAGAACAAGCGGTGAGAAGCTTTGATGCAGAGTGCGGCGTACTACGGATGGCACGACACCGCAATCTAATGAGGATACTCAATACCTGCTCCAACTTGAAATTTAGGGCATTGGTGCTTCAATACATGCCCAATGGCAGCTTAGAGATGCTCCTGCACAACTCTCAAGGTACAACACCATTGGGATTCACTGAGAGACTAGGCATCATGCTTGATGTGTCATTGGCAATGGAGTATCTGCACCATGAACACTACGAGGTGGTCTTGCACTGTGACTTGAAGCCTAGCAATGTGTTGTTCGATGAGGACATGACAGCACATGTGGCAGACTTTGGCATTGCAAGGTTGTTACTAGGTGATGACAGCTCTACAATCACTGCGAGCATGCCTGGAACTGTTGGCTACATGGCACCAGGTACTGTTAGTAGCTAGCACTTTTCTTGCTCAATCTACTTCTTATTGAACCACTGAGTAATTAAGTTAATCAGGCATGCCTTAATTTCAGAGTATGGAGCTCAGGGAAAAGCTTCACGAAAAAGTGATGTATTCAGCTTTGGAATCATGCTTTTTGAAGTCTTCACTAGAAAGAGACCCACAGATGCATTTTTTGTCGGAGATATAAGCCTGAGGCAGTGGGTTGTTGATGCGTTTCCCGCAGAACTTGTCCGTGTTGTGGATGATCAGCTACTACAAGGGTCTTTTAGCTGCAACATGGAAGGTTTTCTTGTGCCTATATTCGAGTTGGGTTTGGTTTGCACTAGCGACTCTTCAGAGCAAAGGATGACAATGAACAATGTGGTTGTGAAGCTGAAGAAGATCCAAGTGGCGTACAATAAATCGATAGCAGCCGCACGGAATGAAGCCAGTCATTAATCAACATTAATTGCTTGCTTCGTTCTGCTATATATCAAAATAAAGGGCGAAACCCATGCAACCAAATTCAAGATGTCAAAAAGCTATGATGCGGCTACGAAGATGTGCCATAGGAATAGACTAGAACCTTCTAGATACTATCATTGTACATGATTAGGTTGAGATAAAACCTTAACCGTATTCCATGTAATCTATGGTTTTCCTTGCGTATCAAGTCCAATAACCTCCGGATGCAATTTCTTTGCTTGTATGCTATTACAGGATAAGCACCGCCACATAAATACATTGTAGGCAGCGTCCTGTGGGGCATGAGCGCTTCCTGAAATCCTACATAGTATTATAGCAATTTCTACCCCTATCCCCACCCATGGCCACCACAACAACTGCCATGGGGGCTGCCCTAGGCATGCCACCCTGAGAGAAACTGGCTAGAGGAAATCACCCCATGTGCGCTATAGGCGCGCCCAACCCTCTAGTGTAAATAGGCGCACCACCAGCCTGTATTGTATTAGAAAACAATGAATATTTGCCGCTTACTCCTAACCTCATCACCAGGCGGTGTTCTTTTATTGAATGGAAAATGAGCTGACACATACATATATTAGGAATTTTTGCGGCGACGATACGTAAGCTGCTAACCCATCATATGTGTGAGCTCATTTTTCCTTTGAAAACTAACGTTTTCATAGCCACAAGTGCGACTGGTGGGTACCACGACGGAAATACTCACTTTTAAGTTTTAACACATAAAACAGTCCAGTTCCCGTCACTTTCAATCAAGCAGAGAATATCTGTGTAATGATGGCGCATATGAACCACTAAACGAGGTAGCAACCTCAGCTTCAGCCGCATTAAGTTGGGTCTTAAAAACGTGGAAACAAACTTAACAAAAACGAACCATCACAGAAACGACAAGCCAGGAGCACTTAACATCCTACACATAGGAAACTAAGAACAACACCACAGTTTCAAAATTTTGGGTTCCAGTGTCAGGACTTACATAGTTCCGTGTAGGCGCCACAGAGTAGTATGAAGCATCAAAGACATGAGCGGGGTGATAGATATGCTGGCCTGCAAATGCCATCTATGTCATTCTTCTGCGAGCAGTGGCACACCCATGTAGATGATTCATACCTTCTGTGATCTGTCGTCCCAGCTGACTTCAATCTCAGAGGAGGATGAGCGAAAATATTGATCTGTAATGTAGTAATAAACTGTGAGATGATGCACTTAACTCACTGGAAGCTGCAGCCGCCGGTTGTACTTGTACCAAGTATAAGAAATCTACTATGCTGCTTCCCAACTCCTGTTAAGTGTTAACTTTTGTGCGGAAACATGTAATAGCCAGCAATTGGTATGAATAACTCAAATGCTATAACAATGCTTAATTGCTAAAATGTACTGCGTCGGTCCCATAATATAATATCGTTTTGCAAGGCAGAGTCTAGAATTTTTGTCTTGTAAACGTATCCCTCCTCATGTAAACGTCGCTTAGTTGGCTCCTTCACTTCTCCACTCTGCACTAATTTGAAAATGTTTGTGTATATTCTCTCCGTGGCATAGAATAGTTTCTTTTAAAAAACCGTGGTGGTGGCATGGAGTTTCAGTTTCGTCAGTCTAACACTATGGATTAGTTCTCGCTGCCATTAGTACTACAGCAAAACTGTTTGGCAAGGCGGTGCTCAATTTTCAGCAGCAAAACTAAATGTTACCCCGTATCTCTAGTCCTCTCTGCTCTAGTTGAACGCCTTACGACAGACACACACAGGTTCAAGCCATCGGCATTTGAAACTTGATTAGAAACCCACCCAGTTGAATCTGCAAGAAACATACAACAACAACAACAACAACAACAAGTCAGTATTATCTCACTGCTTTTGCAGAGCTAGGAGCATTCTGAAACATGCTTTTGTTTGAGCTACAAAACACTAGCTAGTACTCCCTCTGTAAAGAAATATAAGAGCGTTTATATCACTAAAAAGTGATCTAAACGCTTTAAGGAGGGAGTGACAGATTTGTGCTACAGAAATAAATCGGAACAAAAGAGTAAAACCTGAGTTCCTCACTCTGTTGCAACAAAGTTATGATGCACAACTGGCCGCGGTTTGCCAGGATATGATCATAAAGCCTCTGCAAACCACATGAAAACATCGGTCCAGGCTTGAACTCCAGCAAACCCGTAACACATTAAAACATTCAGAAGTGTATTCTCCAATCATGCCAATATATATACACCACTTCACCAGCGTATATATGTTGGTAACCAGATCTCAGCAAATACGCACAACAGAGAACAAAGCATATGTAGTTCTAGTATAATAATGCATATATTTTTGGTCCAAGTATTGTGGGTTAGATCAGGTAGTAGTACTGATCAACATCCCAAATCTCATTCTTTAGGTGACCACATACAAGTATATAGTACACTGATAGTACTATATAGATAGCAGATTTCTTTTGGGTTGTCAGAACAGAATCAGATTCAACAAAGCCTGCCAAAGTTGAAGCCTCCAGGTCTCTCACCACCAATACGTAGCACGACTACAGAATACTACAGCCAAAGACTGCTGCCGTCCAGACCCGCATCTGCCGTACAGACAAAATAGCTGCTGCTAGGATGATGAGTCTTCTTGCTCATATGAACCACTACAAAATACTCCCATTGGACAGCAGCAGCAACCTCATTGTCCCGTCTCTGCCATTCAAACTCCTACATCACTAATTTCAGTCATGTTAACAATGATATCACTTCTTTACCGGCACGGACACCTTCCCGATGAGGGTTTGTTCTAGTCAAAGCCTCAAAGGGATGTACATTTGATTCGATCTAACTCTCTACCATGCAAACGATCTACATTTTTTTTTAAATATATGTAAAAATGTAGAACAACTTCCTGGCATTCCCAAGAGCTGCCAAGCACATGCTACATATATTTTCAAACCAGAGCTGACGAGCGATCCCTTTCTTTTCAAATAAAAGCTGAGCAGACACAAACACACAAATACTTGTGGCAGATACTCTCCTGGCTGAAGAGAAGAGCTGCCAAGCACACACATCTGGAAAAGGCAAGACAGGATGAGATCCGACTTGAAATAATACTAGAATAATTAAGCTAAAATTCCACGGATTATGTAATCAAACCATCTTGCTACATTACATACTTGGCTAAGATAAGGCATGATAATTTTTTGCAGATAATAACATATAAACACCACCGACCACGAGGGTTTGCGATGCGACAAACTCGGTGACAACTAACAACTGCAGCAGCCCTTTCTTCACCTGGGGAAAACAAAAGCATCAAGTTGTTAGTAACCTGATGCAGATATTGACAGAACCTAGTAGTAGCACCTAGGAGTATATAACAGCGGATGAACAAGGCGCGCGTACAGACTCATAATCTACTCAGCAACATAAAGTAGAGCTATACCCTATCTCCTAAAAAAAGGAAGAGTCGTTCATATTGCTGGCTACATAGGACAACAAAATAAATCCTTCAGCCTTTCCGCACAAATTTCTTAGGTGATGGAGTTGAATGAGGTGACTGATGTTTTTAATAACAAAATGGGCTAGTAATATATTGCTTTCAACTTATGGATAAAAAAAAACCAAGGGAGAACTCTGGGCATACAACATGTGAATCATCTGCACATTGTTTATGATCTAACATGAGTCCCTTTTTACTTAGCCTCACCAACATTTTAATTGTTATTAGCATTTGCGGATCCCTATAGCCGAATGGACAGTAATTTGAGGGTGCATGCTACCCACACTGTCTGCCACATATATTCCAAAGAGAACATCAAACAGTCCAAATCTCGGTAATTTTATTCAGAGGATCTTACCTGTTGAAACGTTTCAGCACATTAGCACATCAAACCAGAGTCATCCTAACATTTCAGCTCCATTAGCTCCACCTTCAATGGTTGTGCCTAGAAGAATAAGAACTCCGGCAGTTAACAACAGTTTCACAATAAAGACAAATGGATAAGAGAAGGCAACATGAGACAGATACAAAGATGAGCTGACAAATATAACTTGAGTAAAATAATTCACTTATATAACTTATTTCTACAGATGTGGTATTAGTCACTCTTGACAGTAGCACTAGATAAAACAAAACAACATATGTTGTAAATGTGAGGGATATTCATACAAGCAGTACGCTTAGATACCTCATAATGGAGAACCTAGCTAGCTTGTAAGAAAAGAAAACATGGCCTATAAATTTTCTCATGTGAACTCCTTACTCGTATTGTCAACCAGACAACATTATGCCAAAACAACAAACTCTAGGAACAAAAGTATTATTGGGTATTCTGCTTTAACTAAAAGGATCCCAAGAGAAGAAATGCAATTTATTTCTATGTGCTATATGAATGAACAAGTGAGAAAATCTAAATTATTTCAAAAAGCATGAATTCAACAGAATTTTTTTATGGAGTGAAATGAAAAAAATATCTTAACAAATAATAGTAATGATAATAGGCAAAGAATAAAACTAGCCTGGGCACTCCAACTTGCCAGCTAAGTTAATCATTCGACCTTTGATTTTGCTATCTTCCAATAGAAAAGACAAGCACATTGAAACATAACACATAATGAAGTAACACGACGATAAACTCGTCCATCTAGCAAAGGTGCAATTACTAAACAAATTCTATCATAGGAAATTGCTTACTAAGTGCAAGTTGTATGTGGACATTTAAGAATTACTATAACTGTATGTGAGAACACATGTACAGAACATAATTAGATTGGGTTACTCCTAAGATATAAAGACCAAGGATGAGCAATTACCTAGTGGATGTGAACTCGCGAAAGTATAGCAGTAATATGTAGAACCGGTTCCATGAAGCTTCCTCGCTTGCATTGACTTCAGCTGAACCATACATACAACATCATGCCAAGCTAAAAAGATTACACCGGTATCCTCATCATACCCCACCAATTTGAGCCATTCATTCCATCTCACGGTCCTAGGGATCTTAAGAAGTTCACGCAGTGAAACGGTTTTCCGCAACGACCATATGACAACACCTCGACAATCAACCTTCCTCTGCCACATTTGAAGCTTAAGGTGGGACAAGGCGGCAAGACCAAAAGCGCCATCCTGTTCCTCAATGATATGGAAGTTGTCGAAATCATTCATATTCATACCACGAGGCCCCTTGATCACGGTAAGGTTCTGCTTGCGCAAATCAAACTCAACTATGTCGTTTCCCTTATGCTTAGCCGGCCAGTACAGGGAATTACCTACAAGGGTGCTAGTTCTGTGACCAAATAGAGTGCCATCTGAAGCCTCTGTCGAGATGGAATTGCCCCATGTGTCAGTATCGGACGAGTAAACTCGGGCGACGAGTTGTCGATAATACTGCATGTAGTGAATGTATACGAAGACCAGCTTGAAGGGGCTTGAATGGCACGCGCCGTGTACATGGTTCTGGTCTCTGGCAGCGCAGACCACTGCCGCCTTGAGGTAGGCTCTGTTGAACTCGGGCGGAATGGACACGCGGTGCTGCTTGTGGTTGATAGGATCACACACAACGAGCTCTTCCAGAACCCGGTCTTTGACGAGGACGCGGCCGTGGCGGCAATCGAGCACCTTGTGTTCACTGTAGCGTCCAAGGGAGAAGCGCCCAGGGGGGATGCGGTCCGGAGGTGCGAGGACGGGCGTGAACATGACCTGTTGCCTGCCGCGCTGGAAGAAGCTGAGGAGGGGCGGCTTGCGGTGGTGCGCATAGAACCGGCGGAGGAACTTGGGGTCGACGAGGATGCCCCGCCACTGCTTGCTGACGGCGGAGGCGCGGGGGAGCGAGTATAGGTCCAGGGGGAGGCGGAGGAGGATCTCCCGGAGCATATCTTGGCTGTCCGGCAGGGAGGCAGGCGTCTCCGGCGAGGTGCCGTTGCCCTCCTCGCTGGCCTGGATCTGGGGACGGAGACGCTTGCCGCCGCGGGTGACTCGGTCGGGCCCCTCTCTGGCCTGGATCTGGGTGCTCCGGCGCTTACTGCTGCGGCGGTGGCTGGGCACCCCGGCGCCATCCTCATTGGCGTCGATTTGGGGACGGAGGCGCGCGCTGCGGGGGCGGGCGTGTACCTCACTCGCGTGGATCTGGGAACGGAGGCGCGCGCTGCGGCGGCGGGCGGGGGTGGACGTGGCTCATGCCGGCGGCGCCGGAGGAAGACCTAGCTCGCTGGCTAGAGGAAGAAGGAACGCACGAGATGAGCGTTGGTTTCTTCCTGTCTGCAGCAGCTATGCTTTTGAGTGGGCTTTTTCCTTCACTCCCCCGCAGCAGTGGACTGGCTTTTGAGTGGGCCACCAAGTTCATGCAAGTGGAGGCCCGGTTCGTTCCCCATGCAAGTGAGTCTCAGGAAGAAAAAAAAGTGAGTGAACAATGAGTCATACATACAATTGGATTTTCAGTTTTGTCAGAGCTCAGAGTATGCAGTTCAGTTCAGCAAGCATTGTTAGCCTTTCTTTTATTCTTTCTTCAACCAGGGAGAACAAAATTTTGTTTACAGAGACACTAATTATTTATGTAGAAGCAGTAATTAAGCAGTGATACTGGAACGAGTGCCCTGCTTAATTACAGAGACTAATTATTTTTTTGGCACACATTTTTTGTCTTTTTAGATGATTTTTCTTGGTTTTCTCAACTTTTCACCGGTCTGCCTTAACTTTTGAACCCAAAAAAAATTCAAACTTTTTTTACTCGAAAAAACACATTTTATTATTTTTCATTCGTGAGAGGCATGACCATGCCTCTCGAAAACGAAATAAAAACGCATTTTTTTTCTTTTTTTTCTTCCGTGAGAGGCACAGTTTTTTGCTTCCGCGAGTGGCATGTTTTTGCTTCTGTGCCTCTCGGAAATGAAAAAAAAATGCATTTTTCCCTCCTGTGAGAAGCACGGTTTTGCTTCCGCGAGAGGCACGGCTGTGCCTCTCACAAATGGGAAAAACATGTTTTTTCTTTTTTTTCCCTTTCACGCAAGGCATGTTTTTGCTTCCGTGCCTCTCGGAAATGAAAAAAAATATGTTTTTCCCCTTTCGTGAGAAGCACAGTTTTGCTTCCACGAGAGGCATGGTTTTGCTTCCGCGAGAGGCACGGTCGTGTCTCACGAAAACGAAAAAAAACATATTTTTTTCTGTGAGAGGCACGATTTTGCTTCCACGAGAGATAAGGTCGTGCCTCTTGGAAACGACTTTCGAAAAGAAAGAAAATGTCTTCCCGATCTTTTTTTTCATGATTTTTTTTCAAAACCTATCAATATGGGATATAGCTTTGAAGGTGTCGACGCGAGGAATCCAACGGTGAAAACGGCTCAAGATTTGGACGCACGATTTAAGAGATAAATACTTTTGAACAAACGAATCTACGAAAAAAGGGAAAACTTCCGGGTTGCGACAAGTGGCGCATGTGTAGCGCCCACCTGTCACATCCCAGGGAGGTGGAAGTGATATTTGAAAGGAGTACTCCTCAATTAGTGATTTCGGGATCTCGGTCGATCCTAATTTCCCTCGAAATGAAAACATTCGATGTGATCTTCTCCCTGAGGAACATTCCCCCAGATATTAAGGTCTATGATTTTACCTTTCCGTTCATATATCTTTTGATAATTGCCCAATTTTTTAGCATTGAAGATTTAGTTTTTGAATCGTTATTTTTGTGAACAGAGTTTTGAAAAAGGGATATCAGACACAAGTGCCGACGGCGTGCAGTCTTCTCTGGCAAGCGGCGGTGCCCAACAATCCAATTTCCGTGAACTTTTTTTTTTGAGTAAATTTTGGAATAATTTTATTTCTGTGAACTATTTTCTAGTAAATTTTGAATAATTTGCGTGAACTAAATTTGGATTTGTTTTATTTTTGTGAACTATTTTTTTTTCTGAGTAGCCGACACCGCGGCCCAACAATCCCAGTGCGATCAATTTTCTGACCAATTCGGTCGTATTGTAAGTTAGCATGGCCCGCTCATTTTTTGCAGGGGAGCCCGACCCATCTCACGCAAAGGCCCAACTATTGTTTATCCTTTTCTCAGAAAAAAGAACTCTGGTTTATCCAAAGGGAAACGGGTGGCAGTTTGTACCCTAGGCGGCGGCCGGCGGCGCAGTGGAGCCGTGCCTGCCGGCCGGAGGCCGTCGAGCTCGCCCAGGTACCGCTCACATTCTCCGCCGGCTGGGCGAGCTCCTCGTCTTACTCCGGCACACCGCCTCGCTCGCGTCTCACCGGGACTCCAGCGGAAGCTATCTGCCACGGTAATCCCCTTTGCTCTCCTTTTGATTTCCGAACAGGAATGCTGAGTTTCTACTACTACTAGTAAGTAATCATGGAAGTTGCGTGATTAGTCTCTGGATCCTCTCTTTTTTTCTAGAATATAAGCAGTCTATATGCGCATCTCTGTATTATGGGGAAAAGGGGATAAAATCAGAGCAATGACTGGGTAAGATTTACTATATCACAGCACTGTCAGGAAATGGCTGCAAGATCCGGTGCCGTATGTTTCTAATTAATAGCATTACAATATGGTAAGATACAGATGCAGTATTGGCAGTACTGCAGAATCCCATGTAGTTCAGTATGTAATCCAACACTGGGCAAGCTAGTGGCAAGGCATTACGCTTTACGACGCAGATCCGAGTTATGTTCCCTCAAACGTGTAATGATACACACACACAATGCGTGCTCATGTGTTCGTCGTGTTTTGTCGCATGGGACGATTATCAGACGACACAAAGGGCTTGGGGGGAATATGCAGGTTCTGCAGCCTCCCAGTTAACATGTTTACCACCTTCGTCATCGACGGCCTATTCTTTGGGTTCCACTGGATGCACCAGAGCCCCACAATACTCAGCTGTCTAATCTTGTCTTTGTCTTCTGCTGTCATTTCCAGAGTAAGCTCCCATTCCTGCCAAGAAATCACTTTCTCGTAGATCCACTCAGGGAGGTATACCTCGTCCTGGATCTCAACACTTGGGTCTGCGTTCCTCCTTCCACTCACCATTTCCAACACCAGCATGCCAAAACTGTACACATCTGACTTGTATGACACCCCTCCAAAGTTTCGAGAGTATAGCTCCGGTGCGATGTATCCCATAGTTCCTCTGGCTGCTGTGAGCGTAACAATGCTTTGGTCCCTTGCACACAGCTTTGCAAGGCCAAAGTCAGAGATCTTTGGGTTGAAGTTGTAATCCAGCAGGATGTTGTGTGGCTTGATGTCAAAGTGGAGAATCCGCTGGTTGCAGCCTTGATGCATGTATTCCATTCCTCGGGCAATGCCTAAAGCAATATCTAGCATTTTGTTGGGTGCTAGGAGTTGTCGAGAAATATTAGAAACATGTGTGAATATGTATTTCTCCAGTGACTCATTAGGCATGAATTCATAAATAAGGGCCCGTCTCATTCCTTCGGAGCAAAAGCCCAAGAGGCGTACGATATTTGCATGGTGGATTAGTCCAATGGTTGCAACTTCATTGATGAATTCCTCCCCCTCTCCTGTAGAACTCTCTAGCATCTTGACTGCCACAGGTACTCCATTTGGTAGCTCGCCTTTGTACACACTTCCGAATCCGCCCTGACCGAGTTTATCCTTGAACCTTCTTGCTATCTTCTTAACATCAGGGAAGGTGTATCTTATAGGTTTCGATGTGCCATATGCCTTGAGAAACATTTCAACCTTCATATTTATCTCTTCATTGTACCTTGACTTCAAGGAGAGATATATCACAGTGGCCACAATCAATGAAAGAACTACAAATGCAGCTACAGATGAGGCTGCTGATTAAAAAAAAGGATATTAGCGAGTTGCATTCAGATAAGAGGCCATGCATTCCTGACTCTTATTGTAATGAGGAAACACAAAAGATTCACAGTGGTAAGCAATAAGAATTTCATCTAGAATGAGAAAAAGGAAAAGAGTTGCAACATTACCCGCAATTGGGATGACATGGGTACCTGCATGTAGGAAGAATATCATAAGTTTTTCCATGCTTTAATTTTAATGTAGACAGAAACAGAAGACTACTTCATTAGTCTATGAATTATGTTTGGAACAACTAATTCCTGATTCTTACACGAGTTCTCTGTGGACATATATATTTGGTAGCTTCCTGTTGGCTTCAAGTATATTGGACCTCAGACATAGGGTGTTATATCGATTAATATATTCTTTGTTATGTTATAGCTGTACACTTATTTATTCATATCCAATCTGAAAAACTAAACAAATATGAAAATGGTCAACTAAGGTTCAGCTCTTACTTTTTGTTGCCCAAGAATTTTACAAATTAGTCAACCATCATAAGTTTTCCCATATAATTTGGCACTTGCATCTCTTGATAAATGTTTTTTCTTTGGGGAACTTTCATGGATGTGAACCTAGAGACTGTATGTGCTCAAGCAACTTAACGATTTCTCTGATTTGCAATACAATTTTGTTTGTTAAATAATATAACTACTAGATTGAGAATTCTGTTGGAAGATTAAACACAGTTAACATCAGAATATAGGAGATCAACAAACTAGTACATTGAGAAGCAGAAAATCTATAATGCTGTTCCTAAATAAATTTCCACACCATAATGATATATGGATTTCAGTTAGGGAAAGAAATAATACCATGGTGCTGGCAGAATGCTTGACGCCTTTGTGAGCTGAATCCACAGTATCGACCTTCATGTTCACACTGTTGGCAGACATCGGTAATGTTACTGAGGTGCCAAGTGAAGGTTGTCGCACCAAAGTTGACAACTGCCTTTGCTATTTCACTGGAGGGGTCCGAGTTAGGGCCATGTTTATCATAGCTGAAGGGTATCGGGATACCTTTAGAAATGGCCACACAGTCCCATGGTAAATCAGATATGTATGCGGAATCTAATGCCAAATACAAGAATTGGCTAGCGTTGCTACTGACACAAGGAGCTGGGCCGACTATACTATATGGATGTGCTGGTATGAAATTCTTGGAACAACGTACCAGGGTCGTAAATGATTGAGGTTGTTTGTACACACCAGTTTCTAACTTTCTCGAGATGAGCTTCTGAAGTGGGCATTGTGTCAATGGTTCCACAAGCGGGGTGATGTTAATGACGCGGTGCATGTAATATATCGCAGTCACTTTGCAAGAACCAAGAACAGGGTGATCCAAGATCGTGTCATGCCCAGAGCATGATAACTGCATGCCAGCTGCTCCACAGGATGTTGGTTGGGTTGAAAGCCGGAAGGGGAACTGGATCTTTGGTCCATGTTTGCTGCACCGTTGTGATGAGCATTTCTTGAAGAAATCCTCATCATCTGATGCTGCACCCACATAGGATTCATTGGTTAGAAGACAGAGCAGCACTAGCATGACAAGAAGTTTAGGAAAATCCATGAGATGAATTGGAGATTTAGATGGAAGAAGAGAAAGTCTGGAGTATAAGAAAGTGGTTGTATGCTTTAATCTCTGGTGAGGATTGGGGTGGCACTTGTCATGATAGTTACATGTCTGGGCAGGAAGTCCAACTGCCACCGAAACATATCCTTCTGCAGTTTGTTGCTTTAAAGTCTGCATCACCCTTGGCTGTATGTACATATCCCTGTAATTAAAATATATATGCTATTGGATTCCACACATTACTAGGAGACTGACATAATTGGACCAGAATACACTTTGACTCTTCCTCTTATGCTAGACCAACACGTGCTCAAGTTCTAATCTTTCATTTTCTGCTCACCACTGTGGACTCAACTAATTATTTCTTCTTAGTCTCCAAGTATTAGTTCCCTTCCTATCACATTCTACCATTTAATTCCTGATAGGCACAAGTTGGCCTTCAAAAAGGAAGAGTTGACGCGATATTCGAGTCAAGCACAACAAAAGAATATTGTAAGCCAGATTTCAGGATATGCTACTCTTTTGCGCAAAGTTTCAGTATGTACCCACAAAAAAAAAGTTTCAGTATATGGCACCCATGTCTCATGGCAGTATCATATACTGCTATCCAATATAAGGGGGGTGGATAATCAAAGTGAATGAGCTAGGTGGTTTGGACAAGCAAGCATGCATGTTAGGCTTTGCTCACTGGATCAGAGGAGAAGAGTACATAGTGGTGAATACTCCCTCTGTTCATTTATGTAAGGCATTTTAGACAGCCAAAATTGAACTGTTTTAGGTGTTGTCTTAAATGTCTAAAACCTCTTACAAAAGTGAACGGAGGGAGTACCGAACCTCCAAGGTTGCCTGCCAAGTAAATTAAGTTAGGTTCTAGTGTATGTAGCCTCATTATCTGAGAGGACTGTGCTTGAATGAGCAACCAATTTTTCATGGGCCCCATTGCTATGATGAAGATCAGTCATGTAATGTCCGTAGAGTCTGTAGCTGGTATGCAGTTACCGTAATTCTGTTGTAAGTACCCTTGCTATCCAGTCTGTTCTTCTATGAACCAGTCTGCCATGGCTATGGCCAGTGTATTCCATGGTTTTACCACCCTGTGACTCTTAACTGTACTACTACAAATTATTGTAACATCTGTTGCCGTACAGTTTACCATCAGAATGCGAATTGAAGTGAAAACCATTTCATATAGATTAGGGATTTCTATGGCATATATACCAACCATATTTAGACTCCCTATCAACATGTGGATAGTTTTGTATTATGATATGGCTTGGTGACTTTTTGTGATAGCTGAATGACCGACGAGGAGTGCTTACAGTCTGACTGGCTGTAGCGCAGTCATCGTCGGAAATAATTAGCCAGACACTATGGAAATGCTGTCAGTTACTCCTGTAAAGGAAAAAAACAGATATTACTTTATTTTTGTATGGTATCAGCCGTGCGCTGTTGAAATGCTTTCCGTTCCATTTGCAGGCAATAGAAACCAGGTAAATTTCAAATGCATCTGCCCATATAATGTAAACTTGGTGCTAAAGATATTAAACAAAATTTGGTAGTTAGTTATGTAGAGGAGGGGTGTAGGAAAGTAGTTCAGCTATAAGTAGATCTATTAAAAAAATAGAACTACTTTAGTTCTACCCTACTTTAATATCTCAAATGAATGATATTTAGTTAGTATTTGTCATTTTCTCTCCCTGTTATTTGTCATTGTCTTAAGACATTGAATTCCATGTTATCATGACTAGGACAGAATTGTGACTAGAGTAGTACACTTGGACTCACTCCCATTAATCTAGAGGTCTGGAGTCAAGAACATCACCATCACCTAGATAAGCCAGTAGGCTGTATGTATTTACCTAACTTTGGCTTGGCAGGAAGTAGCCAAGTCTCCTAGTCAACAACATCACTATCATGTAGAGCCACTAGTTGGCATGTAATTACCCACTTTTGGAGTTAAGAAAAATAAAAACTTTGGCAGCCACACCTTCATTTGACAATTCCTCTGTGTATCTGTGCTTCTGTGAAACAGCTTGCCATGGTGATGCCCGCTGTTCTCAACTCCCTAACTTTCTTATGTGTGCTTGCAGTTCTTGCTGCAGGTCAGGCTGAAGGGCGGCATCATGACCCTGATTGTCCTTCTTTCTCGTGCGGCCCTCTTAGAAATGTATCGTTCCCATTTCGTCAGGCAAGTGATCCTCCTGGGTGTGGTTATCAATCTTATGAGCTAATTTGCAGTGATACCAAGGCCGCAATTCGCATCGACGATGCAACATACTATGTGCCTGCCATCAACTACAGTGGTTCTTCCTTCTGGGTTATCGATGCCAACATGGATTTATACAACAGCTGCCCTCTACCTCGGTGGAATCGGCCTCCCTCTACATACCATTACAACATGAACATGGAAGTCGAACTGGATCCCCTTGTAGATAGTCAGGCTTGCTTTCTTAAATGCTCTCGGGAAGTAAAGGACAATGGTATGTACATGCCTGTTGCTTGCCTGAGCACCAATGATACTTATGTTTACGTGTTAACTGGTGATGAATCTAATTCAATGGAGTATCTCGAGCCTTCTTGTGGGTACTTGGCCATGACTCCTCAGCCTTGGGACAGTCCAGTGCTAGAAAATGCAAGTTATGCAGATGTTGTGAAATCCATGAGGAGTGGATTTGCTGTTCTATTTCCTTTCAGATATCATAGGAGGAGCATCAATGTATGCCTAAGGCGCGAGATTCGGTGAGTTACAGATCTTGACATCTGCACACTGTTGTTTTATTCGTTGCCTGTGTATACCTGGCTACCTTGTTCGAGGGTACACTTTCATTCCATTTTTTCATACAATCGTGCTATTGCAGCAAGTTTCATGAATGGCCAGTGTCTGGAAGGAGCATCAAGGATTGGATTGTGGGAATTCTTCTGGTTGAGGGAGATTTCGCAGACTGCGTATTTGATGTGACTGGATTCCCTTATTATGTTGGAAATGAGCGGAGCGCCATACTAATTACTATGTGGATTGTGACATTGACTGCAGGTACTTCAGAATTTTGTGTTCTTAATTTAATTTCTTCATCATCACAACTGCTTATTCATGTAGCCACTAAACCCTATGCAACCTTGCTTATGTAGATCTATGCAGGTTCTTGTTGGCACCCCTGGCTGTGTTGATCTTTCTGGCCCACAAGTATTGGAAAACAAGGATCAGAATTGATGCAGTCGGGAAGTTCCTCCAAATGCAACAAATGCTTGGCCCGACAAGGTACGCCTATACTGACATCACCGCAGTCACGAGCCATTTCAGAGATAAGCTGGGTCAGGGAGGCTACGGATCCGTGTTTAAGGGTGTGCTATCGCCAGGCAATGTTCATGTCGCGGTAAAGATGCTAGACGGTAACTCCAACTGTAATGGAGAAGATTTTATCAGTGAAGTTTCAACCATTGGCAGGATTCACCATGTTAATGTGGTTCGTTTAGTGGGGTTCTGCCCGGAGGAAATGAGACAAGCGCTCGTCTACGAGTACATGCCTCAAGGTTCTCTCGACAAGTACATCTTCTCGGCCGAGAAGAATTTCTCTTGGGACAAGCTAAATGAGATTGCTTTGGGCATTGCCAGAGGGATTGATTACTTGCATCAGGGTTGTGACATGCAGATTCTCCACTTTGACATCAAGCCGCACAACATCCTTCTTGACAACAATTTCATCCCAAAAGTTGCCGACTTCGGTCTCGCAAAACTATACCCAAGGGACATCAGTTTTGTGCCGTCGAGAGCACTACGGGGAACTATAGGGTACATAGCTCCTGAGATGATATCTCGGAGCTTTGGCATCATATCGAGCAAATCTGATGTTTACAGCTTTGGGATGCTGCTGCTGGAGATGGCCGGAGGAAGAAGGAATGCCGATCCAAATGCAGCAAATTCTAGCCAAGCATACTACCCGGCGTGGGTGTATGACCGACTAACCCAACAAGACCATGTGGGTGAGATAACTGCTCATGTTGATGCTCAGATGCATGAGTTGGAGAGGAAGCTGTGCATCGTCGGACTATGGTGCATCCAGATGAAATCTCATGACAGGCCGACGATGAGCGAGGCAATAGAGATGCTGGAAGGCAGCGCCGATACCTTGCAGATGCCTTCCAGGCCATTCTTCTGTGATGAAGGGCACGTCCATACCGATGATACTTACCGTTTGTCGTCCGAGTTGACTGAAATCTCTGAGGAGGATATGAGTGAAAATATTGATGTGTGATGTAATGCAGAAAATGATGCACTTAGCTGGTGCATTTTTCTTGAAATAATGGCTGTACATATGGTTGTATCAAGCATGAAACTATCTGCTGTATTTCCGGAGTGGTGTGTACATGTAATAGCTAGCGGAGTAGAAGAACTACTACTGATGATATGTCCATGTCATCTTATTCATGCATGATGAAATTTCGCTCCTGCTCCTGGTGCTGCTTTGTGTTTTCTGTTATGCTCAAATCTTTGTGTTTCCCATATATTCGCCTAAAAACTCACAGCTTTGGGATGATGCTGCAAGGTGGCGTCAATGGCCTTCAGATGCCTTCTAGGCCTTTCTTTTGTGACCAAGGGCACATCCATACAGAGGATTCTTACCGTTTGTCATCCGCAGTTGACTGAAATCTCTGAGGAGGATCAGTGAAAGTTTTATGTGTGATGTAATGCACGAGAGGAGACAATTAGGCTGTAAGAATTAAGCTAAAATAATGGTTGTAGTTGTTGTATTGAGCATGAAACAAAACAAAATTAGCCAAGCACAAACTCCGGCATTTGTCTATTTGCAAACGGCCCGACTTAATAATCATGGCCGGCCGAGACATTAAAACTAATCGACATTCCCCCGCAAAAATAATAATAATCAACATTAGGACTTAATAATCATGGCCGGCCGAGACATTAAAACTAATCGACACTAGGACTTAATAATCATGACCAGCAGAGACATTAAAACTAATCAACATTAGAACTTAATAATCATGTCAGGCCGAGACATTAAAACTAATCGACATTTGGACAATAATCATCGCCGGCCGAGACATTAAAATTAATCAACATTAGGACTTAATAATCATCGCCGGCCGAGATATTGATCTAATAATTGACCGCGGTACAGCTAATGCCTTGACTTGAATCAGTATAAGTCTTCATGATCATGATCAGCCGGTAACAGGCAGTTGTCTACGCCAGCGATTCCTACCTGCTATCGTTGGTCCATGTGCAATCTGCGCGGTAGGTGACTTGGTTGTTTTGATCAACTAAATAAACTAGTTAGTTTAGAGGAGCTCCAACTCTTGTCTTACAAGTCTGGCCTTTTGCTTAACAACGCCAAGAAGTCACAGTCTTGTCTTACACAAATTATTGGCTGTAGACTAGCTAGACTTGGTGGGTTACTGTCACAAAAAAAAACAATTAGCTTAGCCATTATCGGAAAAACAAATTAGCTTAGCCATAGCCCATAGCTTGATGTCACTAGGGATTTTGATAATGAAAATCTTGGCCGGCCGGCCGGCCAATAGATTAAACTGAAGGCTAATGCCTCACATCAACGAATCAACATCCATATGCATATCCTAATCAAGCAGAGGCCGAGTTGACTCTTATCAATCAGCCCAATGTAAGACAATCATTCAATGCCTAACATCTTAAATGTGGTATTAATTGGGACCTCCTATCTGCCGCATTATGCGGCAGACTGGCGGGGGATCGCAGAGGCGCCGAACGAATTGGCTGGCCCAGGTAGCCAACCCTGCGAGACGAAAAAAAATGAGTAAAACGATGCGCGCTGGGTTCCAACTTGCGACGCTGACTCATCAGTTCATGAGCGAAGCACCTCGAGCTGAACAGCTTTTGTGAAAAGTAAGCAGCGCCATCATTTAAGTAGTTACACTCGCATAAAATTCCAGCAAAAGATGGACTCGCAAGGATTCAAACTCAGCACCTCCTGGTAGTACGCAGCGGTGCATAAGCAGTTGAATACATAATTTTGATGTCCAAAGCATGCAGCGCAGCTTATAATAACTGTGAAAGGTGACACATCTATTTTCTTTAAGAATTTCGAATGCATTTTTATATAGGAAAGCGAATATTTATGAAAAAAACATTTCAAAATTGTGAGAAAATTTCCAAATTAGAAAATTATTTGAAACACAAACATTTCATTCAAAAGTCAAACATTTTTCAATGTTGAACAAAATTTAGAAAAGCGGATTTTTTTTGAAAAAAATAACATTATTTAAAAACATGAAATTGTTGGAAAAAATAGAACATTTATTGAAACTCTGAACAAATATCTAAAGGCGAAAAAAAATTGCGTCCGTGAACATTTTTTGAAACTATGAACAAAATTAGGGGAAAGCAAGCTTTTTATCAATATCATGAAGGTTTTTTGAATTTTTGAACAAAAATTGAAAAACCAAGAACTTTTCTGAATATTCTGTTCAACGTCAACAAATTTTGCAATTTTGTTCAACGTGAGCAAATTTTGGAACTTAAGATCATTTTTTGAACACGCGAACAAGTTTTGTGAAATGAGAACAAAAAATTTACGAACAGTTTGAATATTTTTTCAAACTATGAATTTTTTTTAAAACGTGATTTTTTTTAAATCACAAACAATATTTAGAAAACATGAACAAATTTTTGAAAATTCAAGCATTTGGAAAGCACAAACAAATTTCAAAAGACTGAATTTTTTGGAAAATACAAACAAATTTTAAACATTAACAAAATTTTAATTTTCGAAAAATGGAAAAAAGAACAATTATAAAAGATGTTAAATTTTTTAAATTTGCGATTTTTAGAAAAGGAAAAAAGAAAATGTGAACCTGAAATATAAACAAAAAAACAAAACAAAGAAATGAAAAAAAGAAACAGAGAAAGGGAAACCCAAAAAAGAAATGAAACAGAAAAATGAAACAAAGAAAAAGAAAAAAACAATGACAAAAGAAAACCGTTAAAACGATATAAAAAAAGGGTTCAGGGAACCTTCTGGAAGGTTACAAAACCGGCTGCCTCGCTATGGGATAGTGGGCGGGCCCAGATTTCGCGCTCGGGAGATCACCTATACGAACCCTCCACAGTTCGACGCAGTTAGCGTCAAATAGTCGTGTTGTAATGTGTTAAAAAAAACATCTTAAATGTGGTTATACCATAGAGGTGTTGCTGAAACTTTCCGTCTTGGCTTACCAATTGTTGATTTGTCCAACAGCTTCGTCGGGGCGGGAGTTTTTTCTTCTGTTTTAGAACCTTTTTGGTTGACTTTTCCTCAGTTTTCTTTATTTGTTGTTTATATCACTTTTCCTCAATTTTCTATGTACGTTTTTCATGTACATGTAAAATATTCATTTTAAAATATGTTTTGATGTGTACATAATTTGTATATAAAATTTTTTATTCATGATTAACACGTTTTTAGATATAAGGTTAGAATTTTTAAATAGGCTAAACCTTTCATTCAAATACATGTGTGATGTACACTTTTTAAATAAACAATTACACTTTTCATGTTCATCGGAAACATTATGATAATGTTTAGTAATTAACAAATACATGGTTAATTGTTTATTATTATGCCAAATACATGTTTTTGAAACGCACGACATTTTTAAAATGTTTAAAACATTTTTCTGTATGCTCAACATTTTTCACATGCATTTGAAAGATTTATATTATATATGTTTAATATTGTATCAAATATATTATTAACATTTTATATAATCTTACATACATTTTCTAAAACAGGTGAACATTTTTTGAATTAAGCTAGTAATTGTTTTACATTGTGTTAACATTTTCTAAGTTTCTTATTAAAAATGTTTTTTAATGCTTTGAAATATATGTATGCACAATATGTTTGGAAATAATAATAAAAAAAAAACAAGAAAATGAACAGAGGCAAAAACAGGAGAAAAGACGAACTTACCTAGACCGGCACATTCGCGGCGGCCTGACACGAGCGGTCGCTCCAACTTGCGTTAGGCGAGGTATAGGCGTGCCCGGTAGGCACGGCTGCACTGCCGCACCGGAGTAAGCGCTCGGCGGCCGTGTGCCGCCGTCTACCATAGAAACGGGCACCTGTTAGAAATGTGGAGGTGTCTTTCCCCTTTGGGTGACATGGTTCAGGCTCGCCTGCAACCAAAATACCAAACGGGCCATCGTTAACAATTCGAATTAGTCAGAAAGGCCGCAGCTAGATTATTAATCAGGCCGCGTTCTTGGCTACTCGTGTGCTCTGCCTCTTGCTGTAGAAAACTGCAAGCCGTTGTCACCCGCTGTAGAAAACAGTTTGTGTCCGACTCTGTGCTTTGGTGACTCCAAGTGCGACTCTTCGTGCTTTGGTGACGGGCGGAAAAAACATAAAACTTACAAAAGTTGTTAGGTTTTCTTGCTTTTCGCAAGTTAATGTTACTTGTGTGAGGTGTGTAGCTGATATGAAAATTACGGCTCCTATGACTTGAAGATATAGAAAAAAGGTTGATTTATGAAGGAAACATTTGACAAACTTTTTATTACAAGATGGCAAGGCATCCCCATGGCCGTTGCCAGGAGTTAATTGATATTCAAGGCAAGTTTTTATTAGGTCATTTTCTTTCTTCTTGCCAAATTCATTTATTTTCCAAAGGATAAATAGGACCCACACCTCACCCTCCATTCATTATTCTCGAGGTGTCCTTTTTATTTCGTGATAACTCGGGGGCTATATAAATTGGTATGATTGCTTGTAAACAAGCGATATGGGAGTATTTAAAGGTATAACGAACTGGGAATTAACAGAAACAGGAGATAACCTAGTAGGAGCTAGCCTTAGGAAGGCTGCTAGCGGGTCGTTGGTTCCATCATCAGTCCCAACAACTATTTATTTGCGCTTCTTTCTTCGAAGGCCATGAGCAGGCCCATGGGCCAGTACGTGTACACGAGGAAAGGGCCCCGAGCAGAAAAATTCTAAAATTAAACATTTTCTGGATTGCGGGTAAATTCTAAAGAAGAATAGGGACTTTTTTACAAAACAACTGACGGTGAACAGACATAAGCAATCCGTACTTTATTAATAGATAAAGATATAGATAGTAAATATGCCCGTGTGTTGCAATGGAAGACAAAAAAAGACGACCTAAAACCCTGCCCATCTGCTCCACCAACACACATAGGCCCACTTCCTCTATTTCAACACAACATCCCACTTGAGTTACCGTTTATTTTTTCTCTATGTGTGTGTAGTTGTTTTATTGC